ATTTTAATCATACATTTTATGGAATCTATAACTTTTATCAACCTTTTAACCATATATTTTATCAATTTTTATCAAAATCTGCTAAAGTTTTTATCAAAAGTTTTGTCAATTAACCCATATATATTTCAATTTGTATCTCTCATGACGATGGCTTATTTAAGAACACCAATCTTGAAATCTATAAACTCGTTGGAGGTTTAAGACTATTGAGCTTGTTGGACATCGATACCATAGGTTCTACATTTAAAACTCACCTTTAACATGAAGATGAGGTCGACAATGGCTTTGGTCAAGAAGTACAACTACAGTTTTTGATGTTGAAATCCTAATTCTATTTAGGCTGGGATCTGTTCAGGGCTTTTTATGTAGTTGGCATTGGCTTATTGCAGTTTTATAAATAATCCAAGTATTATTTACGCCATATAACTCTATTTCTTCTAAAGATATTGCTATGAGTACATCTCAAGGTATACTCACGAGGTCACACTCCCCTCACATTGAGGGGGCACACACATATTTTATTGTGTGTGGATCTCCTTTCATGTGAAGGGGGTGTAAATCCGTGTGTATACAATTATGTACGTGTAACATTATCCTTCTTGTAAAGAGTAAAAAAGAACATCTTTTTAAATTTTAAATTTCTTAACCTTACATCCTTTATAATTTGTTAAAAACACTCTTTACATTCTAAATATATTTAGTAAACCCTAATCCTCAAAGCACCAACCCACCTTCCCCCCACCACCAATATGCCATCATCATCAACAAGGACGGAGCCAAACATTTCCTATTGTGGGGTAAAAAATTAAGGACGCTCGAGTGGAACTTGGACATTCCAAGAACTGTAGGGTTTGTTCATTGGCGCTGAGCTTCTTCTTCTAGCCTTCCCTAGCTTTACTATAGATTACATACTTAAATCTACTCTCAACATCAGGCAACAAAAACTCCAATTATAACACAAACTCTAATGATGAGAAACAAAATTGAATGAAAAGGTTTAAAGGAGAGGAAATCAAATATAAACACTAAAATCTATAATTTCAAACATTCTGCCAAAATCAATCGCAATGTCAAAATCTCATATTGGTGATTAAAAATAATAATATAGAAAAGTAAAAGGAGAAAAAATCAAATACAAAATCAGTATATAGAAATGAGCAAAACTTAGATACCAATAAGCTTAGATATATTTTGACGACATTATATAAAAGCAAATAATTAGCAAAATCTAATTTTTATTGTTAAGAAACCTCAATTTTAACCAACAAACTTTGATTTTTTCCCACGCAAACTTTACCATCAACTTCATTTCAACTCTAGAAATCAATCGATGCCATTTGTAAATAAGTATGAAAAACAACATTTTTCGAATTCCAATTCGGCAACAGTAGAAAAAAATAAAAATTCAAAGAAATAATCAGAACACAGTTGAGATTTCTAGGAGAATTAAAAAACACAAAAATTAAATTTGATTATAATGAAAATTAGAGCAAGAAAGAAAGAGAAATCGACCCAAGTTTGAAGAAGTTGAAATGGAGTGTTTTCTTCCTCACCCAAAGCTTGAATTCACCGCCTATGGCTTGTCCAAAGATTTTTTTTGGGGGAAAAACCAAAATATCAAAAAAAATTTGGCGTCAATTGACCCCACATGATACCACGTGAGTCCGTCCATGGCCATCGACTATTACACCACTTTTATCTTCGATTTCACCATCTTGCGGCCATCATCACCATAACATACATTTTTCTCGTCACTATCACCCCTCGCCGCCATTATCATGTTCATCTCAAATCTTCTCTTCCATACTCGTATTGAAATCAGATCTTGTACTGCTATGGGTGAGAATGAAGAAGATGTTTAATTTCTCTTTGTGTTGGCCTTTTTGTTTAATTGTTTTATATGGAATTACTATTTTACCCTTTTTAAAATTTAAAAAAAAATATGGTCAAATTTAATTTTTTGGTCAACTTCGTACAAACTGGCAGGTTTCCATCTATTTGGACTCCAGACGTACGCAATTGAAAGTTTTGGGACCACAAATGCAACAAATAAAAGATTAAGGTAAAACATGCAAGGATTTAAAAGGTTAGGGGCAACACTACAATTATCCCTTTAAATTACCAAAAATTTTAATTTTATATTTTAACGACAATACGAAAGTAACACAATGACTCATATGTTACTCTAACATGGGATTTTATAAAAAAAAATAAAAAAAAAATTCTTAATGTAATTAAAAATGTAAATGTAAAATATTAATTTTAATGGAAAAAAAAAGATTTTTTTTTAAAATTGTATGACATTTTTAAGCTTTTTGAAGAAAAATACGGTATTTTTTAAGGTATTCTTTAATCTTAATTACATAAGGAAAAATCCATAAATACAAATGTTTAATAATACAATTTTAAAATCAACAAATCTGTAAAACAACTCAAAATTAGGTCGTCAAATTTGTGAATTTGATAAAATATTGCAATCTATAATTTAAAGAAACAAGTTACAATCACATATTACTCAATTCATGGTCACAGTCATGCAATGTCATGTTCATACACCCTACATAAAATTGGATCGCAATCACATATTAAGTCACAAATCACATAATTAATTGATCACGGTCAATATTCTTCTCACCCTACATCAACAGACCCTAAACTCTTCTTTTTCCTCGTTCTTAATCTGATTTCTCCTTCGTGCTGCCCCCACCAACTATCGCGCTATCACTCAATTGACACACAATTTCCACAATTGAACCCTTGCTTCCAACAATTCACGCACGCTTTCCATGTATACAAATAATATTTATAAATATACAACTTCTTCAGCAACAGGACAGTTAATTGGGCCATTTGAAGGTTGCGTAAGTTAGTCGATCATCGTCACTAGGCCAACATCGGTGTCAGATCGTTGTCCGACGTTGGATCTATGCCGTCGTTGATCAGAGATTGTTGGAGGGACAAATGTGGATATGATGTAGTGGGAAAGTTGTATAGAGAGCTTTCAGAAGCCTCTGACAATGGGCACAAGCAATAGCCAATCCATTGCCGCTTGGTATTACCATCGACCACACACACATCACCGCATTGAGTTTGCCCAAATATCAGTACAAAAATGGGATCGAAGATGTATTTTTGAATTGGTCATTGTTTGATGGATATTTTTTGTTACTCTTTTTCAGTTATTGCAGATAGGGATACGTAAGTCTATTTTTGTTTATTTTAGGTTATTCGTTTTGTCTGTATTGAGACGAAAAGTTGCTACTGGTGTTATGGGTTTCCATTTAAGTTCTTGTTAAACGATAGTTGTTCTTGGTTGTCTTTTTATTAAAAGTTAATGAAGCGTTAAGATTCTTTTAATTTTCGATCTTCACATATTCTGTAGAATCAACGAAGTTAAGTTGATGTGTTATACTTTATTTTGATGCTTGCATTGCCATTATCGTAAAAAAGATGGTGGCAAAGCTAAAACATGAATCTACCTAAAAGGAATCAATCATTATAACGATTATTAGTCCGCATGAAAGTTAAACACCTACTACTACAACAATTAAATATAATGTTAATTAGGCTAACATTGAGTAATTATGTAATATTATCTAACTTTAAAAAAGTAGAATGGGTCTTAAAAATACTTTTAACAACCAATTTGAAAATTTACTTTCAACTTTAATCGGTTGGTCGACATCACATAGTATGATTGGGTGGTTTACAACATAGTAAAATCAATAAATAGTCATTAACTTTCATCAGGTTTCTTCTTATCATGGAACTTTATCATGTTACTCAACACTCATCCAACTTTCAATTAATTACCATTCACCATTTGTTAAGAACATAGTTCCAAATTGTTGACGAAAATCTTGCTTAACAAATGAAAATTTGACATGACAAGTTGACGGGGTGAACTCAACCCAAGTAAATGCCCCCGTTTGGGCCCCAATTTTAGGGAAATGAAAATGAATGGAATAGTATTTTTTTTTTTAAAATGAGTGGTTGAAAAAGAAAGAAAAGTTTTGGCTTTACGTTTAATATTATTTTATAAAAAATTGTGTGGTTGAAAATAAGAGGGAAAAAACTGAAATGTAATGTAATTGAAATTAATGGAGCCAAACAGGGGCAATAAAATTGCTCTAAAGAACGCGACTTTTCCTTGAAACAATGAACATTGATTAATTTAAACCACTTACAGCGTTGGACGTTGCAACATTTTCCACTTGCATAATAGTTTTGGAACTCCAAGGAAAAGTAGGGTTGGGCAAAATTTTTGAACCAAATTGAGATCCAACCCGACTCGAATCGAATAGATCGATTCTTTTTAAATTAAATGCTTGAACGATTATCTGAATCGAGAATCGATGCGAACCCATCGGTTCTAAATTCTTGACCTAGAACTGAAGAACCAAATTTCTCATTTTTTTAAAACAAATTTATTTATCTTAAATAAGCCAAATTTTTTTTTCTAAATAAATTTGCTAACTAATTAATTTAACCCAAACCCAAAATATAATTTTCGTATTTTTAATTTTCAATCCTAGCTCAATTTAATCAAATGTCCTAAGTTTTACCCATATCTATTATTTTACTGTAGTGTCGTTTCTATAGTTTTAGAAAAATCGAATTGGAAGCTCGGTTACACCTATTTTCGTTATTTGAGCTCGCTATCTTTATTTTTATGTGATTTTGAAATTAAATCTATGAAGTACTCAATAAAAAGAGGCGTAAAATATATATAAAATTTGATTACATTATTTTGTAAGAATTAAAATTAAATATATTGTTAATTGAATTAATGTAACGTTTTTGTAAATATTTAAAACTTTAATTATGGTATGATATTTAGGAACCGAATGGCATCGAACTGAATTGAGTCAAATGTAATCGAATCCGAAATACATGAAAATTCGAGTTCGATTTGATTCTTTTTAAAATCGAATGAATTGGACGTGAAAAGGTTAAAAATAGGAATAAAATACAAACTTCGAAAATTGAAAAACCTTCCTTCGACTTCTCCGTTTTGTGCATTTAAAATCAACTCATAATTTCCCTCCATATTCAGATAATTCCGGATCACCCCCAATTTTTTCCTCAAAAAATTCAACTGCATTTTATTTCGTTTCGGTTCATTTCAATACAATTTTGTTTTTTAATTTCTCGTTTAATTTTTGGTGAAAATGAGTACCGGAGAGCTTCTCAGCATTGAACCTTCAGAACTCAAATTCGCTCGTGGGTTATTCTCCTCAAATACCATTTTTTAGTTTCTACATTTTTTTTAAAAAAAATTGAGTTTGTTAATTTTCCGATATTTGATCTATGTATTTTTTTTTTTTGGTGTTGATTAGTTGAGCTGAAGAAGCAGATCTCATGTTCTCTCCAAGTATTGAATAAGACTGAGAATCAAGTAGCTTTCAAGGTAATTTCTCAGTCTCTCTCTCTCTCTCTGGTGACATAGTTGTATTTAATTTTCTCCTTTTGATTGAATTTCTGTTTATTAGGTGAAGACTACGAATCCGAAGAAATATTGCGTCCGACCCAACACTGGAATTGTTTTGCCTCGATCAAAATGTGATATCACTGGTAGTTTACTGATTATTTATTTTTTAAGAGAATTAGAGAAGTTTTTATATGCAACCAGATTTTGTTAAAATGCTATTTCATATTTATGTATTGGAAAACATATGTTGTGTTAGATTCTATTCCAAATAATTTTTTCGAAATAGTTGGAGAATTTTGGATCTTCAAAATAAAGCTGTCAGCTTGATTTTGACAAATCAATTATCGTGCCAACTGAAGACATGAAATCAAAAGTTTGGCACTTGGAAAGAACAATGCTATCTATTTAGACAGTGTCAATTAAGTGGTATTAAATGATTGGACCTCTTAAATATAGAGAGAGATGGGTCCCAATTAAGATGTGTCAATTGCTTAATTGACACGTAGATTGCTGACCATCGAAAGTCTAGATGAACAGCATTACTCATTTGGAAATAGAAATTTGATCTTGGAAAAAGGGACTTTGATGGCCGTAGGCTTGCTTAACCCTTTCACTGCAACTCAATGAAAGCCAAATGTGATTTTCATATCTTTTCCTCTTTTTTTACAGGACATAATCCTTTTTAAGTGTTACAATTTTCATACTTTCATGATTGATTTTTTATTTTTTATTTTTTTATTTTTTTGGTTCTTACAGTTAATGACAAAGGTTGAGAAATTTATTCTTATCTACCCTCGGTTCTTCCATTTTTGTAACAAAGTCTGCGGTTTTGTTTGCTGATATATTCAAATGTTTTTTCTTCGTTTAGTTTTCTTCTTAATCTGTATCTTCAATCGTAGTAACAATGCAAGCACAGAAGGAGCTGCCTCCTGACTTGCAATGCAAGGACAAATTTTTGCTTCAGAGTGTAGTTGTAAATCATGGTGCAACACAAAAAGACATTACTCCAGAAATGGTACTTATGATCAATTATTGATTTATTTTGTTGCTGTTTTTGCCAAAGTACACGAGAGTTGTCATATTGTCCATTTTAGCTTACTAATTTTACCATTAGATCACCAGCTAAGTCTTGATTGACAACGCAACAAACTGAGACAAGTGGATTAGCAATGACGTTGCACATTACTTTAATGAAGAATAAAATTTAAGGATGTGGGACTTTTTCTTCAATTGTAGTTTACTAAGGAGGAAGGACGTGTTGTTGAAGAGTGCAAGTTGAGAGTGCTTTATGTTTCCCCACCTCGACCACCATCTCCAGTTGCAGAGGGATCCGATGAGGACTCTTCACCAAAGACGACTTCTATGGAGAATGAAAATCTGAATGGCAGTGAGGTTGAAATTATTATGGTTTTGGGTTTCTTATTTTCAACATCTCATTTTGATTCTTGCATGCTTGACATATTTACTAGCAACCTCCGTTCATTGTAGCTCAGTTTTTTGATTGGTGTCTGCAGGTTACTAGAAAGTTTGTTGATAGTCATGAAAATTCACAGGAGGTGAGTTCCTTCTCTCCAGTAACTATACATTCTCAAATGTGTGCGCCTTTTATTTTTATTTCATGTACAAATTAAAATATCTCATTTTTTGTATTTGTTTATTTTTGTTAGGTGCTTGTTATGTATCCGTTACTGATATTTAATGCTTTTTGTGATTTTAATTATATGGACTTCATAGTGAAAAAGGACCTTGAGAGAAGGTTGTAGACCGAAATTCTAGAGGTGAGAATTCTGAATAAGAGATATCTTAATCTAGGATCTAGCTATCCTCTAGCCTTTTTTCTTTATCCTCTAGCCTTTTTTCTTTAGGGAGAAATAAAACTAAAATTCGCATTGGCATGGATGGCAGAGCATCCACAACACTTTCCTGGTACTGATTTGATCTTTGCACCTTTTTCGCTATTTAAAAGGTCGCACTATCTCTTCGAGCATGTTTGGGGAAGTTTAGCCATACCTTTCGTAGGATTCACAACTTGCCGTTCAATTATTCTATATATTTCACAGGACCCACTTCTTATAAGCACTTAAAGCACCACGCCACCACCAAATAAGCACTTCATACAGTCCATAATGTGAACTTCTGGCACTATGAATGGATTATTTATCTAATCAAATGGAGAGCCTTAGACTTGATTATCTACAGAAGTTTGTGGTTGTCATTCCAATTTATCTGGCATGAAAATGGCGCAAGTCGTTTGTGATTATGTAAAACATTCTTGAAATCTTATTTATGAGCTCAAATTGAATTGTGGAAAAAAAGTTAGATTTTAAGCCGTCTTGATGTTTATAATCGCTCTCAAAAAATCACCCATCAAATTACTACTCATGAAACTTATATATGGTGATCTAGGTTCATCCATCCACGACCAATTATTCCAATAATCATTATCAGAACAGATAATCTTAGCCTTAAGGCCTTAACATAAACAAATAAATTGCAAATACAAGGCTGAGAATTTGGGCTGATGAAACTTGAAATTGAACTTAAGTTGAATTTGTGAAGAAGAAATTAGAAATCGAATTTATTACATTGGGCTGACAGGGTATGGATATCTAGGTATGGGCATCAGCGTATGGGCTTAATGTGCAATTGGGCATTAGGCTGGAGCATGGGTAAACAAATTTAAAGTTGGACTGATGCTAATACCTTTCCACCGACAATTAACCCAAACCAAATAAGAGCGTGCATGGCAAAGCTTAATTTAGTCGAACATACTTTTTATCAACTTACCACCAACTTGTTATCCACACAGTTCGTTTGATCTACAATTTATAAGCATTTAAAAGCACTATCAAATAAACACTAAATAGATGGAGAAAGTGGGGGAAAGAATCCAGTGCTGGTACCATGGCACTAGACTCCCAACAGGAAGATGAAATCCTGTGTTTTGTTTGTTTCTTCAAGTACCTGGTTAATATGATTGGCACAATGCATGCATTCGTCTCCGCACTTCTTCTATCTTCACTCCCGTTCTCTAGTACTTTACGTCAGTCTTCTAAGAACTGTAAAGCATAGCTTCGTGCCTAGGCCCACTTTTTAGAAAACCGCTTTACATAGTTGCACTCACACCATTCACAAGTAAACTTTTCAGAAGTTCAGTGTTTGTATTGTTCTCAAAATTTCACCTGGTCTATCAGTTTGCATGTGTTTGCTCTCTGTTATTGTCAACATTGGGACTTACTGCCGTGATGGCCTATTTGAATTTGTATTCTAATTCTCAGGTACGCTCACTTATTTCAAAATTTACCGAAGAAAAAGCTGCTGCAATTCAACAGAGCAACAAACTTCGTCAAGAATTGGTGAGGGACACACATTTTTCAATCTCTAACATAATCCAAAAATTTAATTTACTGTATTGTTTTGTTATTTTTCGTCTCTGGTAACTGCTTAATTCTATATCCTTGCATTGCGTAGCTACTCTTGAGGCGTGATAGCAACAAAAGTGGAGGTGGAGTCTCCATCATGTTCGTCGTCATCATTGGCTTGCTCGGCGCTGTTTTGGGGTACCTCATGAAACGGACATAATTATCCATCTGAATATTTTGGCTTTATGTTTTCATACTATTTTGCTTCTCTCCACACATATTGAAATATAGGGACGGAAAAATATCACGAAGGTGTCAATTTTGTATTAGCTTAGTTTGATAGAAATTTTATGTTTAGGTTGATTCAACATGCTGTTTTGTTCGATCTAATGGTGCATTCTTTTGTAAACTTTAATGAAACTTCTTTATTTCTTTCTGATGCTTTCATCCTGTCTGTTCTTTTAAATATAATGATAATTTCTCAATCGTTTTTATTTAAGATCAGTACCAACTCTAAGAACATTACAAATTACTTCGTCACCTGTAAATCAAATTTAATTCGTTAGTTTGCTGGAATGTAAGACATGTTAACCAAAATACCTGTTAGACCACAAGGACTAGGCAAATCAAGCATTTTTTCAGTGATGCTATACGATAGAAAGTTCAACTCATATGCGTGTCAATGAAGTGCAGGATCATGAATAATGGATCGCCATATATGGACTTAAGTGGTGCGTATGATCACGTGGCAAGGTCCCAACTTGCACTAGCTCATCGAGTCACAACACGCAAGTCGATGAATGTATGAATCAACATGCATCTTTGATCAACTAAGAATATATGTGATTGTACGTCATTGTTCTCAAAATATTATTCAAAGTAGGCATTGATCATGTATATCAAAATGAATACTTCGTTGAGCCAGTTACACTCTTTTCTTCAGAGATAGAATCCCACAAGGAAAACCCCATCATGAATATCAATGAACTAAAGAAGTTGGATTAATTCACGTTCATATTTGACTCACTTCAATAATATAAGTATAACCAGATTTATTTATAAAAAAATATTATTATTTTGGACACAATAAAATCTATAGAAACATTTATTTCATGGTCAAAATAATTAATTTTTTTACCTATAAGTATTGCTAAGTTATATATGAAAACATAAATAGAAATAAAAATTTAATTGCTTTTAAGCTTAGCAAAACATGTAGCATCTTAAAACAAAGAATTCAATTTTAGCTTTAATCAATAAAAAATATGTAATGTAAAATTTATATAATTAAATATAAGCGAACCTTTTAAACATAATCAAACTTGCATAAAATAAAATACTTGATTTTGTAACGAGTTATTTGAGTGCATAAATGTGAATTAAATGAATATGTAATTAGTGTGGAGTCTTTAAACTAAATTTGTGCAATTGGACCTGGACCCCGGATGTAGCTTGGCTGGACAAAAATGAATGTCTGGGCTGAACTGAAGCATAATAATTTTTTTGAGAAAAATACATTCCGATCAACATTTTAACACACTTTCAATTTCGATAAATTTGTGAATTTCTTTAAAAAAAAATCAGATCATACTAATGAAATAGGTAATTAAATAAAATTTCCCAACTTTTACCTTGAAAACTTCTTGATTGTATAATTTCATTCTTTATTAAAAATAAATGTTGCTTCAATAAACCATTGCTAGAAAAATTCAGTGGGATAAAATCTAAGTGAAGGAAAAATAGTACAGTTACCCTTTAATGTTGATCACTGAAAATCTTTGAGTCAATGCATTCCAATCCTGTGAACTAATTTCTTGAATGTAGATGCTGATAGTGTTTTTGTGAATAAATCGGCTACATTGTCACTTGGCGAATTTGTTAGATATCGAGGTCATCATTCTTTTAAAGCTCATGTGTATGAAAGAATTTTGGAAAAATGCTTTATCCTGTCACATTGATATAGCCTTCTTTGGGTTGTGCAAAACAAGCTGTATTGTTATCATACAAAATTGTTAGATTATCTTTTGTTGAAGTTAACTCACATGATACTTGAATATGATGAGTCATGTTTCTCAATTATACGCATTCTCGACTTGCTTCATGGATTGCAAAAATTTCAGAATGATTTAAGGATGTAACTGTCAAGGATTTTTTTACAAATCTCCATAATATAGCTGTTCCTCCACTTGTAAACGTATATTCTGTTTGTGATTTAGCTTACATGGGTCAGAGAGATAACACACATCTGTATATCCCACTAAAGCGGATTCTAACTTTTGAAAATAAAATAATCTCAAATCAATAGTACCATTTAAGTAACGAAAAATATGTTTAATATCATTACAATGTTTTTGAGTTGGTGTAGAGCTATATCTTGTAAGGAGATTTACAGAAAAGCTATGTTGGGTCGAGTACAGCTTACAAGATAAATTAATGATCCAATTGTACTAAGATACGGTACTTCAGGACCAATAAACTTTTCTTTATCTTCAAGTGGACGAAATAAATCATTTTTCATATTAAATGATCAAATAACCATCGATGATGTCAATGGATGTGCATTACTCATATAAAAACGCCATAAAACTTTTTCTGTATACATAGATTGGTGAATAAATAATCCATCTGCGAAATGTTCAATTTGCAATTTAAGACAAAATTTGATTTTTCCCATATCCTTCATTTCAAATTCATTTTTCAAATTATCAGCAATTTTGTTGAGCTTTTTCGAGAGTACCAATTAAATTTAAATTATCAACATAAACTGTACAATTGTAAATCAAAATATTTGTTTTCTTTATAAAAATATATGAGCAGATATCGTCATTTTTTTAACTCTCCTTCAACAAATATTTGTTAAGGCGATTATACTACATGTGTCCGGATTGCTTCAATCCATTTAATAGTCTTTGCAACTTAATTGGGAACATGGTTCTCGAGCATGTATCATTTAAGTTATGCTTCAAACATATTAAATCTTTCAAAGATAACATTAATAGTCATATCAAATGAGTTGACCATCACGTATTTCAAATTCATGTATCGTCAGGATAACATGATATGGACTCAGTATTTCATTCGCGACGATCTTTGTAAAATTCACTATTTTAAGAATCGTGCATTACATATTACGATTTCATTTTTCTCATTTCCTTTTCGCATAAGTATATATGTTACGCCCCTATCTGAACCATTTCGGAAAGTCTACCACCGCGTTATACAAGATGTTCAACACCCATCTGAAGTGGTTCCGAAGTGACGCCACCACCAATGTTGCCGATCTGCTAACGCACTGCGAGACATAGATAATCTACCAAACCGACTGAAGTGTCCTCGCCCCTAAAGCCGAGGCGCAGTACATTCTGAGGTTCTCTGTCAGAGAATCCGCAGCCAATTTCAAAAAGAGATCTATGTCAAGATCCTTTCTACCCCCAATGTTTAATTGATTTGACGTCTCCATGAGTCTAGTTGATGTGATGTATCAACTTTATGTCAACTTAACTCGGAAGAAGTAATTACCCGCCCACTCTATAGACGCGGCTGATTGACACTTATGAACAGACGCCTCACACCGTCAGATGTATACACACATCCAACGGTTCTCCTCACCTATAAATACCCAAAGTTTGGCAAGAGGCAAAAAGGAGATGAAACTCTTACAACTAAGCTCTCCATAATAAGTAAATATATATTCTCCTTCCCACAATTTTGCACAATTTTGGTACTGTTTCGATCACCTGGGCCTAACTTGACCGTCAGACTGTATGTGGCTGCTGCCATTCCGCTGGTCCCGACCATGTGTATCTAACCGTGCGTTGATTATGCGCAGGGAGGAATACGTGGAGTAGCTATCGGTTGGTCACGTGGAGGGTCCAATTTGCGAAGTCAATAGATTGACACCGTCTGTAGGAAGAGCTTTCGGCGTGCATGAGGCGGTGTGGTCTCTCTACTCTTTGGTCCAATATTTATTGTGGACCACTGACACGACCTGTCTCGAATCACCCTAGTGGACCCGAAACATGACGTGCACCGATGATAGATGCTGACTAGATGTTAAATCCATCACCAAAGCTGACTATGAGTTATTTCAAAAAAATGTAACAAAATCAAATGCTTATATAAAATATAATGCGATGGGCCCAAAATAATTACTTCATGTTTCATCAATCTGAGTTATAATATTCAACATGTCGTGTGACTCTTATTCCGAAATCATTAGGCTCTTCCAGCTAAAAAGAATCAATTGCTACCTGTAGGAAAAATCGTGAGAAAATATATGAGTTGATAGCTCAATGAATGGAGAAGTTCGAAAATAATTATACTTTTTCAATTTTACATTTCTATCGAAAATCGAGTTCATCATTTAATAATTTACAAGATAACATCATATAATTATAACCAAAAATGAAATATTCACATAAGGTCGTAAAATATCATCTCAAAATCATGATATAACGTCAGCTGATAATGATGCTATAATCTCATCACATAAAACGTGCTGAAAAATCCACAAAAAATGTACCCTCTGACTGAAATATATAATCCGCCTTTCGGGTTAAGAACTTTCGTCACGGGCCTTTGGCCCCTTCCGTGAACGAAAACTGGTCTCAAAGACCTCTCATAATTAATTCTTCCCCTCTCTCTCTCTTTTTTTTTTCCTTCTTTTCTTTCTCTTTTCTTCCTTTCTCTCGAATTCTTTCCTGCCGTTTCCAACTCTTCTATACATATGGATGCAAATGAAGAGTCAAGGCAAAGGGATTAAAATGTGGACATTTGGACTCCACTAACTTATTTTTGCAAAGGAAGTCCTTATTCTTCAATTTAATATAATATCTAGTCCTTTACTTCCAATAATATATAGTTAGATCCCTAAAATTAAGTTTTATCCATTTTAAACCTTTAACTATTTTTCAAAATAAATTAAATCCCCAATAAAATAATTTATTTCGTTTAAATCCGTATTTGACATTGACTTTGACCAATTGAATTTTAGACTTTGACTAAATAATTTTCTTAACTTTGACTATGAGTGAGCGAGTTATAACAATCTTACCTTCTTCAAAGAATTTCGTCCTCGAAATTCAATCAACTATGATTCTAACACAAAGATATAGAGCATATATTTGAATACTTGCCCCATGATGCCTTTTTTTTTTTTATCCAACAAACTTTAACTAGCGGAATAGACTTTCTGCTCAAAATCTATTCATTTCCTATCCAAGATTCGAATTGATTTTTCTTCATATGTAAGATTTTCAACCAACTCCACTGATGACCTTATAGCATTAGTTAAATCTGGCATCCATTTACTAACCTTTGAACATATGGAATACATGTTGAACTGATACCTTAAATGTCATCCTATTATAAATATGTGATATTTTTAACTTTTCATTTTATCACCTAACGATAATATATATATAGCTTAAAAGTTGG